AAAAACTTTAGTTACAAAAATTTTTACTTTAATATTTTCTTATAAACCCCAGGTAAACACAGAACCGTCATACAAATCACTCATTTAATGTATGAAATTATTACAGTCCACTCATTTTACTTAAAAATTATACAAACAAATTAATAAATTATTTAAAAAACATATGTACTTTTATTGTCACAGTTTCGCAAACAATGAGAAAAGGCAAACTTTAAATTGACACTTTCAATTGAAAAAGGAAGTTTTTCTTTTACTTAAGTTCTAAAGAAAAAAAAACTGTTTCCACAAAAGCAGAATTCATACCTTACTTCAAAGGTACTCTTCACCTGTAGAGGTAAACCTGTACCTTCTACAGGTGTGCACACCTGTAGAAGGAGGTGAGGACTGAACTTCCCAGTCCAGGTCGTCTCAGCCGCCTGAGGAAGTAGAGTCTCTGATGAGCTTTCTTGATCAGGCTGGTGGTGTTGTTGCTCCAGCTGAGGTTGTCATTCAGGTGCACACCCAAGTATTTGTAGCTGGAGACCACTTCCACCGCAGATCCTCCTATGTTCAGGGGGGTGTAGGTGTGTTTGTTCCTTCTGAAGTCCAAGACCATCTCCTTCATCTTCTTCACATTGATGTGAAGGTTGTTTTTCCTGCACCAGCTCTCGAGGTGTTCCACCTCCTGTCTGTAGCTGGACTTGTTGTTTGCGATGCATCCCACCACTGCTGTATCATCTGCAAACTTTACAATGTGACAGCCTGGATGGGTAAGTGCACAGTCATATGTGAGCAGAGTGAACAGGAGAGGGCTCAGCACACAGCCCTGAGGAGAACCAGTGCTGAGAGTTATGGTGGAGGAGAAGTTGTGGATCCTCACAAACTGCACTCTGTTTGTTAAGAAGTCTAGGACCCAGTTGCAAATGGAGGGGCTTAGTCCTAGTGTGAGTAGTTTTGTCCATCAGGGTCTGGGGGATCATGGTGTTGAAGGCAGATGTGAAGTCCACAAAGAGCATACGGATGTAGGAGTCCTTCTCCAGGTGGGTGAGAGCAGTGTGGACCACAGTGGAGATGGCGTCCTCTGTTGATTGATTCTCACAGTATGCATACTGGTGAGGGTCCTCGTTGATGTTGATGGCTGTTTTGATATGGGTCATGACCAGTTTTTCAAAGCACTTAGTGACTATCGGGGTGAGGGCTACTGGCTGATAGTCATTCAGACCAGTCACTGTAGAGCTCTTTGGGGCAGGGATGATGGTAGTGGTCTTCAGGCAGGTGGTAACTGTTGCCAGGATGAGGGAGGAGTTAAAGATGTCGGTCAGCACCTCGCAGAGCTGATAGGCACAGTTCTTCAGCACCTTCCCGGGGATGTTGCCTGGGTCAGTTGCTTTGTGAACATTAATCCTCCTGAAAGTGCTCCTCATTGATGATGGTCGCATAAATTGTATTGTGAATGACCATACACACACACGCAAAATAAAAAAATATATATATTGGATATGAACAAAAAGATCTGAATTTAGCATTAAGACCAATATAGTGTGACTGTAGCCTTAGAGGTCTAGAACTAGGTTTTAAATGATGGGGCAAAAGGGAGGGTTTCACTATGCTTTACATTACTGTGAAAAGGTAAGTAAGTTTTTTTCCCAAATACATTGTTTCTCTCTCTCTCTCTGTGCTCCAGTGAAGACAGACGTGTCCTCCTGTGCGCCGTCCCCCGCTTCCCTGCTTGCTCTCTTTCGTCTTGTGAACCCTTAAAGAGCCTCTTTTTTTTCCTGCATACCTTCCTAATTCGAAGGATTTGATCAGCTGGTCTCTCAACAAAATTGATGAACTTCTCTCTCTCTCAGGGTAAGGAGGACCCTCTTACCTCGACGGAAACAAATTGGATTCATGATGACAACTAGATTCTGCTGTTTGGGTTGGTGAAATCTGGATTGTTTACAAATGTGTGTGAATGTGTCAAAGCTTGGCAGCACTCAGACTGAATTATGTGGAGCTGTGTAAGAGAGCTGGAGCAGGCTGTTATCAGGACTGTGAACTTATGGGCAGCACCCACGAATGGTTGGTAATCTTGGAGAAACCTGTAAGCTCAACTTTCGGTGTAAGGAATCAATTAGGCTGTTTGGAGTTACCATCAGAGACTTTAAAAGGCAGAAATGGCAATTTACGAGTTCTGCCTGACCCAAAGTGTGGCCTTGACAGCGGACTTATCTCAATCTCTCCTGGCATGTTTAGGAAAAACAAAGACGCTTTGTCCGTCTCCTCACCCCTCCATTCCCCAAGGCCGTGGACATGTGACAGAACCTCAACTGAGCTGATGATAACTAACACCTCTTATCTGGACAATGGCTGAGAGGGGGGGCTCTGGACTATGCTACGAACTTCCCTTAAAATTCAATGTCTTCACTGGCCTATATGTACATGTATCATGTCTATTTATGTGCTATGTTGTGGTAGGTTTTTTGATGCCTCAAATTGTGCCCTATCTAGGACATGGTGTGAGAGATCTTTTTTATACCGACTCTCCTCATGTTTTTCTTCCCTTTTCTCATCTAAGCAAAAATATTATTCTGAAGAATAAGAGGGCCACGCTAATTAGCAGTGGCTTCATGCACTACATCCATCTTTCGGATGACTGTACGTACATGTTCTCGTTGTATCTCGGTGCAATGATAATAAAGCTTATTCTGATTCTGAGAAATTAGTATTTTTAAAAGAAAAACCCTTATTAGCTGCATTTAGGTGCCTCCCCAGTATTCTTTTAGATACATAAGCCTCAAAACATGATTTATGTTATCCTGTCTCCACTAAGGGCTAATTTTAGCAGCGTTTCATTGTTAGATTGGTGTTTGTTGGATTTTTGTAGAATTAATATCTGTCCTGTATGATCAAAGCAGAAGACAAACTCCACCACTCCAAATCTGTTAATCTTTAGGGGAAACAGAAAAAAGTTTAAAATTATCCAAAGAGATTAGAAGTATTCAAGATTAAACATCTTGACTTTCAAATCTGATCATAAATTGTATCTTTTTTTTAAATCAATGTAACAGAATGAAGAATTAAGCTAAATATTATTTATTTTTTTCCCAATATGTGGCCTAAACAATGGCTCAAAAATTTACTACATTTGTTTAAAAAATTAGTATATTTTCAGCCTTTATTTAATAATGAGACACACCTGCTACAATTTTGCTCCAGAATATTTAACAACTGAAAACAGAGATTACATTTGATGTGAACTGACGGACTTATTGTACTTTATTCTAAGATATATTTTTATACAAGATCACAGACAACATTAAAACAAGAAAAATGCTAAAAATATTGTTTGTGCTTCATGTAAAAATCTGTTGTTGTATAATTTGCACACTGTTGATGGAAGAACTGATGTACTGAACATGCTGATGCTCCTCACTTCACTGTTCCCTCCATCTTCATCTCCTACCGCTTATTCGTAATCAGGCTGTGGAGGCAGCAGGTACAGACAAGAGACCTAAACATCCCTCTCCTCAGCAGCATTTTTTAGCTAATCGGGGTGTGGGGAGAAGAGAAGATACACAATCCCTCCAGCAATTACTGGGGCTCCCCTTAGGCCTCCTACCAGTGGGATGTGCCCAGAAAACCTCTAAAGAGAGGCGTCTGTGAAGTGTCCTAATCAGATTACAGAACCACCTCAACTTTTCGATGCGAAGGAGCAGCGGCTCTACTCCGAGCTCCCCCCGGATGATGGAGCTTCTCACTCAATCTCTAAGGCCGAGTCCGGCCACCCTGCGAAAGAAGACCATTTCGGCCATTTGTATCCAGGATCTCGTTCTTTCAGTCATGATCCAAACCTCATGACCAAAGATGAGGGCTGGAACGTAAACAGACCAGTAAATCCAGAGCTTTGCCTTTCAACTCAGCTCTTTCTTCACTATGACAGACCGAAACAATGCCCTCATTACTGAGGACAAGGTCCCAATCTGTCGATCCATCTCTTCCCTCCTAACATATATATCTGTATGCCATTATTTTGACCAACCTTTTATTTTCCTCTTTCTACCAGGAAGTATTTGTAGCCAACAGCTTTGTGTTTTTCTATATTTTCGTCCTGTATTCTTACCCCATAAACCTAGTAAAATTAGGGAGTTAGGGATTTATTTACCCTTACATTTTATTTTCCCTGTTGTTTCACAACAGTGTAATTATGCTGCATACATTATTTTAGTGAATACATTTATTTTCTTTCACCTTTCTCTGGCAGGAAGCAGATCCAGTGAGAGAACACTGCATGGGAACCATTAATGTTTAAGGTACATGAGAAATAATCTGGTAACCTTTGACCTGTAACTTTTTCCCTGTCTCATGTCAGGTCTTGACTGTCCAATCTCTCCCTGCAGCAAATCTGTCTCTATAGGTGCTGTCATTGTCGCTATACCTCGGTGTGCGCATGTGTTTGTGTGTGTGTGTGCACATGTGACCCCTCTCAAGTCCCAAAGAGCCAGTAAAGGCAGTGTGGTGGAACCGTTCCTCAGCATGGACACATTTGGCTCAAGTCATTAAATATGTGGCATTGATGGGACGACAAAAGAGAGAGGTATTTCCACGTACATTAAGCCACTGAATTGGTGACTACCAGGTTTTATTATTCTGACTCAAATCAGCAATTAAACATACCCATCTTTTATCACAGGCATCTCTACACCACTAACATCAAGTTGTTATTGATGTAAAAACAAAAAGTACAGAAACCAAACAAAGACAGGTGACTCAGTCCAAGTCACATTTTTGTACTTTTATTTAAAATGGGAAAATTCATCCATCCATTATCTTCCACTTGTTTCAACTCTGGAACAAGTGAAGTCTTCTAATGAAGGAGACATTTATGTCATAAGACATATGTCATTATGTCATATAACATAAATGTCTCCTTCGCACATCTTTTAAAGGTAATAAACACTTAACCGGAATGTAATTTAGTAAAAACTCAAATTCACATTGTGACAAAAACTATTTAAAGGAAACTCAATATCACTTACCTGAACCACCATCAACCAAATAAAGGTCTTTGGCATGCAGAACAGAGTCCAACATGGATTCAAAAAGCAAGAAGTAACCCTGAAGAAAAAAAAAGTGCATTAATATCACAACATTTTAAAACAATTTCATAGTAATATGACAAATGCAGTCCACCTTTCAGACTCATCTGATAACAGGTCAAGGTGGGTTACAATTGCTTGAATGTAAGTGCTAGACAGATTTTTATCTTATTTTAAATTTTTATATTTATTTTGAAGGAATTTAAATTATAAATGACTGTGAATTGAGTGCTGAGGCCACAGGGTTTGGAACTCAACAACTAAAGGTCTGACCCTGGGCTGACCTCATGTTCTGCTCCAGTAGGTGGCACATTGACCGTGGTATTATTCCATTAATGCTGAAATTGAGTTTTGTCCACATTTTGTAGGCTTTAACCTGAGTGGCAGGCTCTGCTGACAAATGGTCTTTTCTGACTAAAGCCCCTCCAGCATACAAATCAACCAATCAGATGAGACTTTGCTTCAAGGCTCAGCCCTTCAATATGCTCTTTTGGAGCACAACATTTGGGTGTGTTCAAACATATGGGAGGGCATATCTCCATCTGGGACAAGGAGGCGGAACAGAATCAGTTCATGTACGTGTGACTGTAACTGATGGCTATCAGTCCATCTATTACAATGTCTTTTTTTATTGTGAATGAATGGAGAATTGTCTGCCTTAAATGTGGGTTTCTGACAAAAATCTATTGTTGGGCAGTTTATCGAAAGGAAACTACCACTACTACCACTAAACTGAAGAGAATAATCCATCTACACAAGATGTTTACAGCTCAATACAGAGAGACTTGATTACATTTGTACAATGAACTCAACAAATTGATGGAAAAGAAAAGAATGACTCAAATGATACTTAAGAACCTAATATCTCTGCTTTCTTTTGTGTGAAAGGAAAGAAGGACAAGGAGAGGTGAGGGCCAGGATAGCAGATAAAAACTCATTGAGGGGAGGGTGTGTGTGTGTGTGAGTGAGAGAGAGATTAAAGACAAAGTGGAGAGGAAGAAAACAGAAACAGTGAGCGAATGCAGTCAGCAGCTGAACTGTAACTCACTGAGATAAGAGCTTTATTATTCAAATAAAGACATTTTTTTACTGAATGGAGGAAAACACAGCAAGCCAAACAGGAGAAACAGCTTTGATCTATAACTCTAAATCCAAAATTATAACCATTTCCATCATGGTCCTTAGCTGATAATGATGACAGTGATGAAGCAGATAGAACCAGTGCATCCTCTGCAAGGTGATAAAGAGAAATATTCTGCTTGTTTATCAGCAATGGAACAGTCCCAAACCAACAACGGTCTGCTGCTGACAGTTGTGGTCCAGTCAACGTCCTTAGCAGCTGAGCAGATTGTTTTTAAAACCTTCACACAGTCTTGTAATTTAGAGCCCAATTTCACGGGACACTGGTTCATGAAGGAAAGAGGATATAAGAGATGCCTGAGAGCAGTGTCACACCATTTTTTTCCCATTGACAATGCCCCAGGATTACTGCCTGGTTCTCCCCTTCCAATCTTCTCTGCATGTCCTCCAAGTGACATGCAAAGCCCACTAAGTTATACATCAGCAAAGGTAACTGCTAAAACATGGATGAATCATAAACTGAAACAAAAAATAGCATTACTATAGACTGTACTTTCAATTATTAATAGGGATGCACCAATCAACTTTTTTTTTTACTTCCGATCCGATCCCGATACCTAAATCTTGATATCGGCCGATACCGATACCTTCCGAAGTCATCATAATTATTGATTTTATATGTGGCTGTAATAATCTCCTCTCTATAGGCAAGTAAAATTTGTACAAATATATGCATGTCCAAAAAGGCAACTTGAGGTAAGTTTTATTAATGTTGGATAAGTTTCAAAGTTAGAATTAAATCCTGCTAACACAAAATATGTTTGTTTTTTTTATTCCTAGCTTTAAAGAGGATATTAAAGTGATTAAATGACTTCAAACATCTGCTAAGTTCATGTCATAAACCAACACAGACATGTTCCTGTTTTTAGTATTTTGCATTGCTTTATAATGTAGCTGTTTTTGTATCTTTTTTCTTTATATATATATATAATATATATATATATATATATATATATATATATATATTTTTATTATTTTTTTTTTTTTTTTTTGTGTATTTTTCGGTTCATAAGCTTTTTATGATTGTCTAATGTTGTACTGATAAATATCTCCTGGAGGGTAAAATATATCTTGGCTGCAAGTATCAAGCTGTGAAATCCTTTGTTTTCTACAACTGATCGCGGTTGGTCATTAATTACGAAGTTTAGCAACTTCTCGGTAAACATTCAAGCTCCGTGGCTTCAACGGTGCATTCTTCTCATTCAGTCCGAAGAAAGCAGTCTGATTTCGTTCAGTCGCGCTCAATCTGCTCCACTCAGTCTGCCCGTTTAGGAGGGGAATGTCCAAAGTAAAGCTAACTTTACCACAGTTTAATGTGGTGCTATGGCTCTGCAGACATTGCACTTTGCTGTCTTGCTCTGTGGTATTTCTAGTGTAAAATATTTCCACACAGCGGATATGTTTCAATGAAAAGTTGGTCAGCCAAAGTGCTGCTCTGCTCACGTTTAAGCTGGCTGCAAATTATGAAATTGATTTGCTGAATGTGAGGCGGGTCTTATTACTCTGGGTTTCATGAGACATGCCTCTGTTCAGGTAATCCATTCCACAGTTTGAAGTCAACGTGCAAAGCAGCAGGCAGGGAATCACATGTGGAGATGTTTTACTTGGAGACAGACATGCATCTTGGATTGGAAATCTCTGCAGGTTGGATCAGAAAAATCATACGTAAATTATGCTGGTATTGGAGCCCGATACAGATACTGGATCGGACCCATCCCTACTTATTAAAACAAAACTTGAAACTCTTCATAAACAACAGCAATAATCAGCAACCCATCAATTTTTTTCATTTTCATTTAGCCTTTATTTATCCAGGTTAGTCTCATTGAGCCACGAGAACTCATTTTCAAGAGAGACCTGTTTAGGGAGCACATGGTGGGGGTTAAGGGCCTTGCTCATGGGCCCAGAGTGGGGCGAATGAGGGTGGGGGCAAGTGTGGGTGTTTCACCTACCCCACCCACAATTTTGATGTTGTCGGGGCCGGGGCGTGAACCGGCGATCTTCGGATCACAAGCCCACCTCTCTAACCTCTGCGCCACCACTCCCCAAACCAATGAACATATAGTGCACCAAGGGTGGAAACATACTCATCAAACCAAATGTTTAAGTTTGTTAAGATTTCAAAAAATGGTCCTCAGTTAGAAAGTGTGAATTGCTCTCTTTGGGTCGAGGGTGAGGTTCTGCCTCAAGTGGAGGAGTTCAAGTATTTCGGGGTTTTGTTCACGAGTGAAGGAACAATGGAGCGTGCGATTGACATATGGATTGGTGCAGTGTCTGCAGAATTGCGGCCTCTGTGCTGGTCTGCTGTGGTGAAGAGGAAGTTGAGCTGTAAGGCAAAGCTCTCAGTTTACCTGTCAATCTACGTTCCTACCCTTACTTATGGTCACAAACTTTGGGTAGTGACCGAAAGAATGAGATTGCAGATAAAAGAGGTTGAAATGAGTTTCCTCTGCAGGATAGCTGGACTCTCTTAGAGATAGGGTGAGAAGTTCAATTATCAGGAGACTTGGGGTAGAACTGCTGCTCCTCCACATCGAAAGGAGCCAGTTGGTGGTTCAGGCATCTGGTAAGGATGCTTCCTGGGCACCACCCTCAGGAGGTACTTCGGGCATGCCCGGCTGGGAGGAACCTCGGGGAAGACCCAGGACACGCTGGGGAGACTACGTCTCTCAGTTGGCCTGGGAACACTTTGGAGTCCTGCCAGAAGAGCTGGAAGAGGTGGCTATGGAAAGAGATGTCTGGATCTCCCTGCTCAAGCTGCTGCCCCTGTGACCCGACTTTGGAATAAGCAGAAGATAACAGACGGAAATAGATTCCAAAAAATAATTTCTATTAAATGCCCAAATAATGAAATAATATTTCTACTGAGTCAAGGTTTACATACACTTGAATTAATATGCCTTTAAACAATTTGGGAAAGCCCAAATGATGCCAAGGCTTTGCTTGTATTTAATTGGTCGGTTGACAACATTTGAGTTAATTGAAGGCACATCTGCGGATGCATTTTAAGCACACCTTAAATGCACTACTTCTTTGTGTGACATCGTGGGGAAAAATTAAAAGAAATTAAGCTATCAAGAAGAGAATTGTAGACTTCTTTAATTCTGGCTTGCCGTTTGGTACTGTAAGGATGGTGCCATCTAGTGGGCCTTCCCTGTCTGTATGCCCTAGTGTGTCTCCTAATTAATCCTGATTGGTTTCTCCTTTGTCTGGTCCCAGCTGTTTGTCATTATGTCCTGTCCTGTCTGTGTATATAAGTCTGTCTGCTAGTCTTGTTCTTTGTCGCATCGTCGTTGGGTCTAACCTGTCTTGTCCTGCCAGCCTGATCTTGTAACCAGTCCTGTCCTGATTATATTTTGTAAGTTTGCTGCCTCGTCAGCTTTTTTGTTTCATTATTATTAAAAGTATTTATTTTTATACATCGTATATACATTGAGTGTTCCACACCACCCACGTCTGTTCCTGATCCTGACACTAAAGAGCCTGCCGCCGAAGAACCAGCCACAGAAGATCTAGCTCCAGAAAATCCAGCGGCAGAAGACCCTGCCTCTGCTGACCCGCCTGCTGAGTTCCTCGCTGCTGACCCTACTGCTGAGTTCCTCGCTGCTGACCTGCCTGCCGAGTTCCTTGTTGCTGATCCGCCTGCTGAGATCCTCGCTGCTGAACTGCCTGCTGAGGTCCTCGCTCCTGGTCTGCCTGCTGAGGTCCTCGCTCCTGGTCCGTCCGCTGAGGTCCCTGCTCCTGGTTTGTCCGCTCCTGGTCCATCCGCTCAGGTCCCCGCTCCTGGTCCGTCCGCTCAGGTCCCCGCTCCTGGTCTATCCGCTGAAGTCCTCGCTCCTGGTCAGTCCGCTGAGATCCTCGCTCCTGGTCCATCCGCTG